TGTACTGTATCAGACTGGGACACCGTTCGACCTTAAAGGACATTCTGAAATATGTTATACTACGGGTGAACCCTGAGGATGTTGTTCTAGGTGAGATAAGCTACATGCAAAGACAAAGTGTATATAATTGCAGTTATCTGAAGTACCAGGGGTAATCAAAATTATAGCAGTAGAAAGTAGAGTTGTGGTTGCCAGGAACAGGAAAAGGAAGCGTTGAGAGTTGTGATTTAATGGGTCCAGAGTTTCTATTTTGAGTGATGAAAAGAGTTCTAGAAATAGACCATGGTGATGTGAATGTACTTAGTATCACTGAACCATACAATTTAAAAAGTGGTTAAGATGGTAGCTGAGCAAGCACACACCTGTACTTCTAGAACTCTGGGAGGCTGAGGCAGGACTATCACAAAACTGAGCCCCGCCTGGATAACTGAGCGACTTAGAGAGGAACTGCCTCAACATAAAAAGAGCTGGGGATATACCTCAATGGGAAGGTCCTGAGTGCAGTCTCCAATGCCACACACACACACACACATACACATACACATGCACACACACACACACACACACAAAGGTTAATATGGTGTATGTTGTTTTATTTTGCCATTATGAAAAATTGAAAATAGAATAGTACATCAGATACCATGAATGGTGTTGCATAGGGTAAAGTTGCTTAGTTGCCCTGGCATCCTCAGCTCCCGCATCCCACAGCCCCCCAACCCCACCCATCCTGAACATTTGTGCTCCACAGTGGTAGGTCCCCCACAATCTAGGAGGCTGAATCCATGCCCTGTGAAGTTTGTGCACACCTAGCAGTATCAGGGGTTCAGGACCCTGAATCCTGAGGTTCAGAAGCATCCTGTGCATATCCCTGGCTTTTGCCTGTCAGTCCCAGCACTGGGCTGTGACAGCCTCTGGCGGAGTCATTCTCAGCATCCTGTTTTGGGAAAGGAGCACCACATCATAAGAGTCATGGGCAGGAGGGACCCAGAAAAGTGCAGCTGGCTCTGTGCCAGGCTCCTTCCTAATGACGATCAAGCAGCCCCATCCTCTGCGAGATCCATGACAGGCTGCCAGCAGACTGTGACTCTGTGTGCCAAGAGCACTTTTCTCATGGAGCCTGGACACTGCGTGGCTGAGGGAACCTGGGAGCTGTGCCCATCTCCCTGAGTGCCTTCATGGCCAGCACTTTTAAGTATCAGATACACAGGATTGTGCCATGTGCCCCTAGAGCTAGCTCCTGACTCCTGACACCAGCAGAAGCCCCTTCCCATTCTGTGCTCTGCAAAATATCCCAGTGATCTCATGCACAGAAAGCCGTCCAAGTTCAAATCAAGTTGGATTCTTACAATACTTACACAGTTCACAGTGTCTTTAAGCATCTGCTGTTGAGGATGGCAAAAATACTATTAAATAGCAGTTAACATTTATCAGGGGCTTACTCTGTGCCAGGTGTTCCTGCACAGGTCTTACAGATGTGATTTTATTTAATACTCCAACTCCCGAGGCTTATAGACATGAAGGCAACTGCTTAAAATCTAGGCTTTCCAGAAGAGACCATGGGGAGCAGATAAAGGCAGGAAGCAGGGAATTAACTACTGATCTTCCTCCTTGACATAGGGCAGTGCTTTGTAAGTGTTAAAGGGCACACTGTCACCTGGGAATCTTGATAAGAAGCAAAGGTTGGCTCAGTAGGTCTTGGATGGGGCCTGGGATGTGGCCTAACAGCAGTGAGCTGCAGCTGCTGGGGTGCAGACCAGGCTGCAGGTGAGGAGACGCTGCTGCACCTGTATGTTTTCTGTGGCCCTTGAAATGGAATTCATTCACCCATCTACTCCCTCAGGCTCCATCATCTTTAGAAGCCGTCTAGTAGTGAAAATCACCATCGGTGACGTTCCAAGTTCCAGTCCTACTTCTGCACTTTCCTCCATGGCTGCCTTCTCAGAGCCACACACACCCCCCCCAGTCTGTAAAATGGGAAACAAAGTTTGCATTTTGTAGCATGGTCTTTGCATCCATTGCAATAAAATGTGGCAAGAGTCTGTAGCAAGTCCTAGGACATAGTGCTAGCTAATAAATGGCTCTCATTTGGGAGCTGCTTTTATTACTGTTATTTACACGTTTCAACCAAGAGTCCCGTAAGTTTATTTGAGCATTTATTTATTTATTTATTACTTATTTCACCAACGATTTCCTCCAGGCCCTGATGATTAGAGCCCTGGTTGCCAGCTCCTGGTTACCATCGGGAGGGTGAGGAGGTGTGACTTCAAATCATGTCAGCAGAAGGTAGAGGGAAACTGATGAAGAAGCAGATCCAGGGATGAGCTTGGCCAAGGATTCCGCCAGAGAGGAGAGAGAAATATGTGTAAGGGGAAGAGAGAGCCAGCAGGCGAGACTGGAGTAGGGTAAAGTGTCAACAGATCACAAGCTGTTAATTATCTGCAGTGAACTAAATATTATGTAGGCAATTATCGACAGGCGTCTGAAAGCAACAATGGGAGAATTGGTCCCCAGCCGAATCCTAGCTCCTTTCCAAGAAGGGCTGGGGAGACAGACTTCAGCAGGCATTTTTATACCCGAGGAGAGACTGGGGCCCAGGGCCCACAGGGCCCACAGGGAGACAGGGTAGGCCCCACCCGTCCAGCCAGCCCAACCAAGCACACAGTGCTTTGCTTTGAAAGGGGCTTTATCCTCTCCAGGCCTGGAAACTGCAGCCCCTCCTCCTTCCCTCCCTCCCCCAAGATGTCATCTTTTGAGACGATTTCATGCGGAAGCATTGCTAAGTAAATTCACTAAATGCCTATTCATCCTCGTCAGATGGGGACTCAGTGAAGCGTCAAATGTGAAAATAGCCCCAGCTCAGGGCCCTGAATGATGCTTTCTGGGGTTGCCAAATGGAGCCACAGGGCTGACCCTGGGAGGCCTGAGCTTCCCAAAGTGCGCCCAGGAGCCCGGCTGGCCAGGCCCCTTGGAGCCTCCCCTGAGAGGCCCCTGTTTATTATTCCTGCTGCTAGGCCCCATTCCCAGGTTAACTTGTCCTGTATTCATCAGGACGACAATAATGAACTGTCGCGGTGAGTGTGCAGGGCTTGGTGAGGGAGAGCTGCGGAGATGCCGGGATAAGCACCCACGTTAGGGCTTCCGAGGAGCCATGGCTTGGCTGTTTTTATGGGCTGATTTCATTTCCGCTTCTTCCAGCGCCTCCTTCAAGACCCCATTTCTGCAAGCCCTGGGTACCCAGATGTGGGCTTGGTCCCTACAGAGGTGGCCTCGTCCTGCAGACCGTGGGCTTGGCCCCGGGATTCACCTCCGAGCAGAGCCGTGCCGAATACGGCCCCGCTTTGTCAAGGGTGATGGGTTTGCCTCACTGCGGACACGCAGGGTCCTTCTGGCACCACTGCTCCCGGGAGGACCCACTCTGGATTGTTGTTTATTTCGGTAACGGGACGGGACATCAGCCGCGCTCATTTTCACTGCAGCATTGCTTAACTGCTTCGTACCGCCCGCCCCCGCCTGAACTGTGAGTTGGTCAGGGTGAGCCGAATGTCCAATGAGAGACAGGGGCTCCGAGTGGCGAGACTGCAGAGTCGCAGGGCAGTGCAAGAGGGGCCCAGAGAGGTAGCAGGCGCAACGTGCACTTATTATGCACCTACGGTGTGCCCTCGGAAGCCACCCAGTTGCTGCTTCAGTACGCATGCGTGAAAGACCTACTGTATACATGTGTGGCTTGTTTAACCAACAGCCAGGGAAGTTCATAAAAGGCTGCCCTTCGGAGAGGGCAAATGGCACCATTAGGCACACAGGGACTTCAGCAGCTGGGATCTGTTTCCAGGTCTTTGTGTATCCGGGTCCAGGCTCCACTCTGTAAGGTGCCCTCCTGCTTTGCCTCTAGGAAGCTGGGCCTCCTTTATATTCCCAGAGACAATCTGCTACACCCCACCCGCTGCCCAGCCTCTCCCAGGCTGCAGCAAGGGTTAACGCTTTCCTGCTGAGGAAGCCTCCCCTGGCAGAGCAGCCGGGGTAAAGGAGCTGCCAGGGCAGCACCGGTTACCTGTTCGGGTCTATTTGGTGGAAGAGGGACTGCCTTGCTGGCAGATGGAGGCCCGTGTGACTGCCTTTTAAAACACTGTCACAGCTGTATGCACAAGCTGATTAGCTGTGACTGTGCTGCTAGTGCCGAGATTGATGGCGATCAATTTGGGATAACAATGTTGGAAACGATGTTATCGTTTGCTTTGCACTTCGTATTTTTTAAAGCCCTCTCGATCCGTAGCCCTGTGGTTCCTGAGAACTTGGTAGTCGCTCATTCACGGATTCTTTCATTGCTCAGACTGCCCTCAAAGGGGTCAGCTCAGACTCGCCTGCTCTGAGTGCGTTCACTTATTCAGCACACACGAACACGGCTCCTGTGGTGCGCCGCTGAGCAAATGCAGCCGGCCGTGTCTCCGGGAGCTCACCCGGGACATGAGCGAGTGCATTCGGGCGGTCATAAAGCAGTGACGTAAACAGGCTGATGTGATGACAAAAGAGGGTCGTAAACAGGGTGATGTAATGGGGTGCTGCTTTAGAAAAGGCCTCTCTGAAGAGGTGACATTGAAAAGAAGACCCGGATACAAGGGTAGGCAAGCAATGGGAAGATAAAGGGTAAGTTCCTAGGCACAGTTAGTGCAAGGGACCTGAGCATGTTTGGGGCTCGGCACTGGGCTACTTCATTCCCTGCTGAATACCGGAGATTCCAAATCATGTAAAATGCTTTGTCTGTCCTCAGTGTCCCTGGGACAGTGGAGGAGATGGGAGAGAAATACACCAGCAGCCCACTTTGACATACTGGGGAAGGCCCCGGGGAGGGGAGAAGCACGGAGAAGATGCCCTAGCTGTGTGGTGGTGATCAGGAGAGGCGAGTGAAGCAGCACCACTGACAGCAAATCCTGGCTTCCATGACAGAGCTGGGAGCTAAGGCTCTCGGTCTCCATGGGCTCTGACTCTCCTCTCCGTTTCCATAGGACGAATGACCAGCTGGTAGCCTTTCTCTCCAGATACCGAGACATGAATTTCTTGAAGTCACACGGCCGGGACAATGCAAGGTAACATTTCATTCCCCTCCCCTGTGCAAAACAGAAATGGAAAATCTGAGCAGGGAGATGGGGGCTTCCTTCCAGGCCAATCCTAGGCAGCCAGAGGGTGGGAGGAAGGCATAAGGCAGGACTTGGCTGTCTGCATGAGGGTCTGAATGGCCTCTCCTGGCACCCAAGGCCAGAGAAATAAGTAAATGCTTCTCGCAGTGTTATAGCCCTGTATCCTCCCCACACCAGGCATTTTCTTGAGTCCATTACCTCAGCAGGGCAGCCCTTTGATTAATGCAGCCATGGTTTAATTCCCATTTTGTTGGTGGGAACACGGGCAAGAGATAACCCCAGAGCATTCCATCGGTCAGTCATGTGACAGATATTCATCAAGTACCAACCGCATGCCAGGCCCTGTTGTCGTGGCGAGTAGGACCCATAGCAGACTCTCGGGGAATTGACTTCCCAGTGGAGGGGAACAGCCCTGAACTGAACTCGGTGGTCTGAGCCCCACCCTGCCCTCCGCCTTGCCTCTCACTGCTGTCCAAGATGTCAGCGGCAAGGGTTGGAGGCACCTGAAACCCCACACTGGATCCTTAACACCTCTCTCACTCCACATGAGCGATCTCAAAAAATGGCATTTTGTTCTAGTTCCCTTTCTTTTTTATTTGAAAATTGGCAGCCCCATTTAAAGATAGACGTGTTTCCCATGGAAATCCAGGCTTCCCACTACCCTTGAAGTCTGAAGACCCACAGTATGTGCCTGAGTTTTTGAATGGCGCAGTCATGTGGATCTTAGACAAAGTCCACCTCCGCCAGGTCACCATGGTCCTCCCCTGTCCCCTTCCCAACCAGCATATCCATTTGAAATCTGTGCTTTAGGTTTTCTCTGCCATTGCTGGAGGAATCGTTATTATGGCTGGATCCATGACTCAGTTTATCTAGGAGCCCTAAGGGAGGGACAGCAGCAAGCAGTGAGGTACATTTCCCAAGCTGTTGAGAGACTGTCCCCTAATCCTTATAGTGTATCATTTTTCGTAAATCCTACCTTTGATTGTATCCGGCTGACGATAGATTGGTCTTGCCCATCTCCTGGCTTAGCTTCATCACATTTAAAAAGAGCTTTTGGAACTGAAGATGCTCTGCGAATGAGCACAGATAAGTGTAGTATGTTCAGACCACGGAGGGTGCAAGAGCTGACTGGAAGCATCACACCATTTTCTTCCTAAGTGCTCATCGCTTTGCCAGCCCCTTGGCCCCTGTCATCCTGTTCCATTCAGTGGAATGACACGATTTATTATCCCAGGGCTGGGGCCATCGCTCAGTGGGAGAGCACTTGCTTAGCATTCCTGAGGCCCTTGGTTCTATCCCTAGCACCCAGAAAAAGGAGAGTTGGGGAGACCAACATAATTTCCCTAAGGTCACACAGCTGGTTAAATACTAGAATTTTAATCTGAGTCTTTCTGGCCCCAAAGCCATAAGACCACGATAGGACAGGGCACAATTCTGTGGAGATGGGTATCCGAGTAGCCTTGGATAGGAGTGTTCTCCTTTTTTTATTTTTATTTATTTATTTTTCCAGTACCAGGAATCAAACTTGGGACTTTGCACTTGCCAGGCAGGCTAGGCGCCATGGAGCTAAATCCCCGGCCCCTCCCCTCCTTTGGGTAGAGAGTGAAAACCCTTCCTCCTCCCACAAAGGTGACAGTACGTGATTACAGACAGAGCTGCATCCTGGGAAAGGGCCCGTTCCAGATTTATGAGCCCACAGCTGGCTTCCCTCCACCCTGGTGCTGTTATTTCCTCCGATCCAGACTTTGTTCTTTATGCGCTGTCTGCCAGGCTCTGACTTCAGGTGAGGCTGAACCAAAGAGCTCAAATGACAGGCGCAAACCCAGGCTTCCGATGATGGTGATGATGACGATGGTGACGGTGGTGGTGGTGGTGCTGGTGGTTTAATTCTGTGGCTCCCAGTGGTGACTGTTCCCAACTTAATAAGTCCCACCATTTTACAGAGAAAGAAACTGAGACTCGGAGAGACGAAGTCACTTGGTTAAGCTCACACGACTAGGGTAGGACTGGGAGTGAGGCCAGAGTTTAAGCCCATAATGCCTGCCTGATGTGCTCTCTGTGTGGAGCCCTGCTTTCCTCCAAGTGCTGGATGGTCTGGGGGCAGCCGCGCTGCTTCTCTGAGCTTCCTTTTCTCCCTTTGACAAATAACTCAGGTGAACAAGACAGGTGGCCAAAGTCCCCTCCCATGCTGATGCTCCGCACCTTGGGCCCTTGTGAAAAGAGGGGACCAAGGCAGAGAGCCTGAAAGACACAGAAGAGGAGGGACAAAAGCAGGTGGTGGGACAGAGTGGGCCACGTGGCGCCTAATGGCAGCGGTGGCCTTCTGTCCGTGTCTTCAGCCTCTAGCAGCCAGTGTGGACTCCAGCTCCCACTGAGCGAAGATGGCATAAAGGAAACCGGTGTTTTAATAACTGCCAAACGGGTCCTGGCTGTTCCTGTAATTAAATGAAGGACAGTGTTGGGCTCACTGTTTCTCTTTGCTTCCCCTCAAAAAATAACATTCAATGCCATCCAGCACCATCACCGTTTCCCAGGTGGTCTCGCCGGGGGTGGGGAAGCGCATGCTCTACAGTTCCGCTCAGCCCGAGTATGGAGCCTGGGAAAAAGTCCCCGGGGCTCCCGGCCTGGGCTGAAGAGCATCGGAAAAGAGTCTCAAATCCCGGCAGCCCGTTTGGGTCTCAGGTGTGTGGGGACCAGTCCCCCACAGGGAGATGGAAAGGAGAAATTTGTTCTCTCAGGCCGAAGAATCTTCCTTGGGCCAATTCCTGCTTTCTCCATCTGATTCTTCCACCTCCATCAGGGCCGCCGGGACCGTTTAGTGCTGGGACAGCGGCTATGGGGGGGTCACACGGTGTTGCCAGGGTCTGGCTCCCACATTCAGAATGCCGGCTCCACCAGAGTGTGCGCAGGTCCTCAGCACTGGCTTTGAAAGCTGCACTTGTCTGAGCACCTTCACAAAACCCGGATAGCAGTCATAGGACGCACGGGACGGAGTGTTTCCACGGCCACGGGAAGGCCGCTGAGCCAGACGCGGTGGGCTGTGTTATCCGATTTCAGCCTCACCTGGCCCCCGTCAGCCTGTTGTAGAGATGAGCACAACTAAGGTTTGAAGATTCGCTGTGACTCACTGGAGACCCAGCAGGTAGGGACCAGCACAGCCAGCACTGGATCTGGTTCTCTTTGACTTTAAGGCCCGTGTTCTCTCCTCGATCATAGGCCTGCGGCTTTAAGTTCTTGTCTTCTATAAATGAAAGAGGAAAATCCTGCTAGCCTGAAAGAGGAACGTTTTATGTGGGTGAGGCCGGGTCTTTCTCCTAGAATCAGCATTTCCTAAAGTGAGCTGATGATTTACCAGTGAAATTCTTTTGGGTCATTTAGGAGGAGGCATATATGAAAGTTAATACTGATCTTTTCTGCCTCCAAAATTTCATGTAATTAGCCCATCTAACACATGATTTTGTGGCTGTGATGCTTATATTATAGCTAAATTTATAAAAGAACAAATATTGAAAGTTGGCTTGAAGGAAAATAACAAGAGGACGCTTGTATACGTGCTACATAAAGCACACAGGAAAGAAGTTCAGAGTTTAAGACTGTCAGGATCCACGTGGTGGCTCTGAGCACTCCCTCTGTGTGGCCTGGGGACGTGGCACCAATGATCTTTGTGTCAGTTTCCTCCCCTGTAAAATGGGAAGGGTGACGATCATGCCAGGAGTTGTTCCAAGAAGTAGCTGAGTCAGTATCAGCCTTTGGAACCGTGGACTGTGCGTAGGAAGCAGAGGATGATGGGAAGGGCCTTGGAAGGCACTGGACAGGTGACTGCAGCCCTTACAGGAGCGGCCAGGCTCCCCAGTGTGAGAGCCTGGCCGGGTCAGAGATAGGATGGGTTCCAGTCCATCCAGCTCAAGGGGGCCTAGAGAAGCTGCTGCCTCTTCTCCAGTCTGGACCCCATCTGCTAGAGGCCGCAGAGTCCCTAACTGGGCATCAGAATGGCACCTAGCGGCTTCAGCAGCTCCCATCTCCGACAGTGAACGAATCCCATCCTGCCCCCTTGCTGTGTAAACAGGCAGCTGTTTATCCAAAAGTTGGCAAATCCATGGAGATCCTGGCCAGGAACCTCTTCCAGGCAGGAGGCTCTTTGGTGCCAACTTTCTTCTCCAGAGATGATCTCCGTCCCCTCCTGACTTGAAGCGCCAGGACAGATGTCTCATCTCCACCAGGGACAGGAGGCTGTATTTCTGTCTAAGTTCCTTAAACCGACCGGCAGGTTTCTCGCTTGTCCACGTTCACTTTCGTCCACTTCTGGCAGCGTCACAGTGGGGCTTAGCGTGGCGCAGGCGCACCGCCCCTCTCAGCTGCAGCATGGGTCCTCATGGGGTCCGCTTTGGAACTTGCCTTCCCCCAGATGTTGCGTGTGGAAGTCAGACAACAGATGAGAAAGAAGCCATGTTCCCGGCACCTTCTCTGCAGAGTCGAGAACAGTTTTTATCTTCTTCTAGGCGTTCTGTCTGTTACAGGCCTTTGGGGAAGGCCATGTAGCACATCTATAATCAGAACAAAAAGCAGTAAACATGGTTTGTAAAAAAATAAATGAAATGTAGAAAACCAATTAGCTCTTACCACACCTATGGACTCTTGGAGGTGTAAGCAAAAGGAGGGCTTTAAGCTCAGGGAAGAACATGGTGCCCTAAGCCCAGAGCTCCAGGCCCCAGGACTCAGGCCACGGGCTCTGGATCCCTCGTATGCATCTTTTCTCCTGTTTGAATAGCACACCCAAAACTGCATGGATCAATACTTGTTACATGTGCAAGCCCTGCTGTGTGGCAGGGGACGACCCTCAATGCCTTGCAGATGAAAACCCCTACAGTTGTCACTTCCCTATCATGTGAATGCAGTCATTATCGTGCCCATTTTTCAGGTGAGGTCACTGAGGCCAGAGAGATTAAATA